TTTTTGGCGCTGTAACCGCCTAAGCGATTTTGGCCGAGTTCAACAAAACACGCCAGTCGTTTCTCCTCTGTGCCAACTGACGCCAATTGGAAACGCCAAGTGAAGCCAAGTCCTTCTCCCACTGATCTTTCCATCGCAGTGGGGGCGTCCCTCTTCCTCTGCTACCACCAGCGGGTTCCGAGTTGAATACTTTCAGAGCTGGAGCGTCGGTGTCCATTCGAACGACATGACCAAGCCAGCGGAGCCGCTGTGTTTTAATTCGCTGCACTATGTCCATATCGTTGTAAAGCTCATACAGCTCATCGTTCCATCGTCTGCGGTACTCGCCGTCGCCAACGCGTAAAGGCCCGTAAATCTTCCGCAAAATCTTTCTCTCAAACACTCCAAGAGCCGCCTCATCGGATGTTGTCATTGTCCATGCTTCTGCGCCATATACCAGCACAGGCATGATGAGTGACTTATAGAGCGCGGTTTTCGTACGTCGAGAGAGGACTTTACTCCTGAATTGCCTACTCAGTCCAAAGTAGCACTTGTTGGCAAGAGTGATTCTACGTTGGATTTCAATGCTGACATTATTATCGGTGTTAATGCTGGTTCCCAAGTAAACGAAATTCTCTACTTTCTCGAAATTGTAACTGTCAACAGTGACGTGGGTGCCAAGGCGCGAATGTGCTGACTGTTTGTTTGATGACAGGAGATACTTCGTCTTGTCCTCGTTTACCACCAGACCCATGCGCTTTGCTTCCCTATCCAACTTGGAAAAGGCAGAACAGTCTTCGCGGTTTTTGTTACTGATAATGTCGATGTCATCGGCATAAGCCAGAAATTGCACGCTCTTGTAGTAAATTGTTCCTCAGCGGTTCAGTTCTGCAGCTCCTATTATCTTCTCCAACATCAGATTAAAGAAGTCACATGACAGGGAGTCGCCCTGTCTGAAACCCCGTTTTGTGGCGAACGGCTCGGAGAGGTCTTTTCCGATTTTGACGGAGCTGGTGGTATTGCTCATCGTCATTTTACACAGCCGTATGAGTTTTGAGGGGATGCAAAATTCAGACAAAGCGGCGTATAGGAAACTCCTTTTAGTGCTGTCAAAAGCGGCTTTAAAGTCGACAAATATGTGGTGAGTGTCGATCCTTTTCTCGCGGGTCTTTTCCAAGATTTGGCGTATTGTGAATACCTGGTCTATGGTGGATTTGCCAGGTCTAAAGCCACACTGATAAGGCCCAATCAGTTCATTGACGGTGGGCTTCAGTCTTTCACACAATACGCTCGATAAGACCTTGTAACCTATGCTTAGAAGGCTGATCCCGCGGTAGTTGGCGCGAATGGCGGGGTCACCTTTCTTGTGGATTGGGCAGAGCATACTTAAATTCCAGTCGTCGGGCATGTTTGTAGGTGCTTATAAAAGGGTATATATAAATGAGTTTGAAAAAGTGAGCGTGGCACATCCAGTACATAACAGTAGGCTATATATATATAAGTTTGCAAAAATGGGCGTGGCATATCCCATAGGCTTGGACCATTTTATCAACTATAACTTGGGAACCATAAGTCACATGAACTTGAAATTTGGTATGCAGGCATATCTACGGTAGGCGCTTTAAGTAAGGCATATATACATAACTGAGTTTGCAAAAGGAGGCGTGGCACATCCCATAGACGTGGGAAATTCGGAATAGTATGTCACGTAAAATTGAAATTTGGTACGCAGACGTATTTGTGGCAGGTGCTTATAATAGGCTATATATAAGTGAGTTTGTAAAAGGGGGAGCGGCGCGTCCCATTGACCTGGAATATTTTATCAGCTATAACTCCGGAACTATAAGTCGCTCGAACTTGAAATTTCGTACGCAGCCATTTTAATGGTAGGTTCTTACATTAGGGTATATATAAATGAGTTTGGAAAAGAAGGCGTAACACATCCAATAGGCATGGAATTTGTTATCAGCTATAAGTCCCACGAACTTGAAATTTGGTATGCAGATATATCAATGGTAGGTGCTTATATATAAATGGGTGTTAAAAGGGGGCGTGACACATCCTATAGGCGTGGAAAATTTTATCAGCTCCAATTTCCAAACCATAAGTCAAATGAAATTGAAATTTGGTACGCAAACGCATCTATGGTAGGTGCTTATATATAATATATAAATATCCCGTATCTTAATATATAAATATCCCGTGTCACTGTGTTCGTTTGCGCTAATCTGCGAAACCGCTTAACCGATTTCAATGAAATTTTGTGGGTTTGTATTGTTGGTTCGAACTTAAAAGATAGGATAGTTGTGAACCCGAGAAAAAATATTTTTTTTCATCGAAATTTTTTCTATGTTCTCGCATCGTGCTTATCTAATATATAAAAATCGAACTCTTCCTACACGAGTCGACCCATCTTTATGAAATTTTTGTGTTATATACGGTAGGTATGAGAATCAGATGTAAAGTATATTTCATACCGCTAGGTGCAGGGGGCTTGGCACCTCCCACACAAACCGAATTTTTCATACTACATATCCCGGAAAATGTTCTGGATGTGTTCATGGAAGAGTACTGGAACTTGGTATGTGCAAGATATATAAAACGCGACTGGTCATGAAACGCGACTGGAAAAGTTGGGGCTATTGGAAAAAGGGACGTGGCACCTCCCATGGCAGATTACTCGAAAATGGTATAGAGATATATGAAATCCATCCCATGCTCTTAGAGAAAATTAGGGCTATTTGAAAAGGCGACGTGGCGCCTTTCAAACGCACTGAAACTATTACGTATCTTTGTATGCATGTACAGTTTTGCTAAGTTATTTAAGACGGTAAATATGCCTTCTGATAATCACCAAACCGTAATATTAGAAGAAAATGCGTCACTAAAAATCATGAACGTGAACTCTTGGTGAAAATGTTGGACCAAAATGTTTCAATACAAAAAATTTATTTTGGGCGGGACGAAGTTCACCGGGTCTGCTAGTAAAATATATAAATTTTAGTTGAAACATTTTAGCCGTTTTTTTTTGCCAATTTAGCCGGACGGCCCAAAAAGTTCTGGTAACACTGTATACAATCCGAACGTCAACAGAAAGAGTAGAAGAGCAACAAATTCGTGAACCAACTAACAAGATCACCCAGCACGGCAACCGTGTATTTGTAATTTAATTTGAAAAAAAAAATAGTTGATGACTTTACTTTTTAATCTGTAGCCCGTTTCTGTAACTTTTCTCTACCGATTATTTCTCTACTGGAAGAGAAAATACGTCACTCTCACCTACTAATTAGCAGCAGTGTTGCCGCGCATAATTTTTAGCTGTAGCCAAATACCTTTAAAAAAAGGGCTAAAAAAGAGCTAAAAAAAGTCGTTGTGGCTAAAAATGGTAGCTAAAATTTTTTACTTACATATACATATATAAGCATACACGTAAACATTTTCAATAAGTAATGGTATATAAAAACAATGTACTCTGGAAAAAAAAATAATATTTTATCCAACCAACGCCCTTTTTGTATAAAAGGGGAAATATACGACACCAGCTTTCTGGTTCCATCAAGTGATTGTACCATCAGGCTCGAAGAATATTACTTACCAGCATGCTGGTAAAATATTTATTTCTTTAAAAATGAGGTCGAGGAAAGATCGAAATGATTAGAGCCGAAATTTCATAATTTTCCTAGCATTTTGTTAAGCATTGTTTTTTTTTTGTAATTCACAACTGCAATATCGTGAACGTAATCTTCCACAAACACGGCTTTGACTCACATAGTGCAAGAAATTTCCGCCAAATACTTTTTACTTAGAAAATTGAGCTAATTTCACCACTCACGACACCAGTGTGCTGGTACAATCACACCACAAGGGCCGTGAACTTATCTATTTTAAACTATAGTTAAATCGTTAACAGATAAGTTAACAGCCCCAACACTTTTATGGATAAAACCGTTAGGAGCATACAATACATATATATATATATATATATATATATATATCAGTCTTTCTTAGTTTAAAAATTCATCTCTTACATAAATGCAAAAAAAAAAATAAAAAATTAAGCATATACAAATTTTTCATGCCAAGTATGAATAAATTCTAAAAAGGGCTAAAAAAGGGCTAGGGGCAATTTTAAATTTATGTGGCCAAAAAAAGTATGTGGTAGCTAAATTTAGCCACCAAAGGGCTAAAACGGCAACACTGATTAGCAGTAGAGAACAGGGCGGCGAATTCATATCTCAATTCGCCTTGGTAGAGAATTGTTACAGAAACGAGCTACTGTTCTTTCATTCACACACAGGCTTCATTCCGTTTCATTCGCATGGCGGCGAAAAAAATGACGTCACTGCAAAAAAATAACTTTTTCTCGCATGCCATCCTGGGTGATCTTTATTCGTTCGTTCATGCAACAAATTTTATTTAGTTGCATGCAAACATTAGACAAAGCAGGTTGATGTCGCATTGTTGTTGAAAAAAGTAGGTAGACTGAGTAAATTATGTAAAGTACGTGAATTATTTAATTTTTTTAATACCAGACTAGTCCTCAATTGGGAATTGTTTTGTTATTTATCTTTTGGTTTAATCGATATTTTGAATTGTTCTTAAATGTCAAGTTTTACTTAATTTTAAGATACAATTTTTTAGGAGAGAAATTTCAATTTGTTGGCGTTAGCGAAGAAGAAGTTATCAAAGCTATGTTGGGCATTAAGTCGAATGCTGTGGGTGATGATGGAATTTCACTTAAATTTGTCAAACTTGTGCTGCCGTATATTGTAGGTATGATTACTCATATAGTAAACCACTGCTTTACAACTTCGTATTTTCCCTCTTAGTGGAAGAAGGCTGCCAGTTGCCAAAAAGAACACGGTTATGGATCCCAGCGATTATAGGCCGATAAGTATACTACCAGCGTTTTCAAAAGTATGTGAGTCCTTGATGGTAGCACAAATATCGTCATACATACATAAAAATAAATTATCTCCGCTACAATCCGGCTTCAGATCTGCAATCACGGTGCAGCGAACAAAGGTGGCGCCGTCAGTGGTACCGCTACTTTGGTTTTGCCGATTTTGACAGTTGTGGTAACTTATAAATAAACCTTTGTTTACAAATCAGCGAAAGAGAAATTTGAATTATAAGTGAAAAATCAGTTTAAATTGTGTTAATTTGCAATTTGTGAGTGATTTTTGAGTTGAAGACTGCGTAAAAACTAATACAATGAAGTGGTGTGTGTTAAATTGCGAAAGCCGTCAAGATGCAAGAAGCGTAGACGCAAGTGTAGCGCTGGGACGAATCGCTGCATCTTGTGTACATAGGGCACCGCAAAGCCTTGTCCGAAATGTTTCTCTATTATTATATTAACAGCATTTTCTCACAATGATTTTGTTACTGCTCCACGCAGCCTCCATTAGCAAGTTAACTAATCAATCCCGCAGCCTTAATTGCAAAGCAGTGGAGTACACTAAAACGTTTGCTGAAGCAGCCTCAATTGCAAAGCAATGGAGTGCACTAAAATGCTCACTCTTCTCTAATAGGTTAGGTGAAAAATGCAATATTTTCGCATTAAGCTAAATTAAAACACGTTTTTCGCTGTAAAGGGAACTGCTTTGGCAATTTCAACTCGTTCTTCTTTTCGCTCTATTCTTTGTTTACTTGTGGTACACAAATGTCAACGCCCAGGACGGCGCAATCATGTGTTCTATCATTCTGGCCTAAGCATATATGCTCCACAGCCATGATGAAAATACTTGACGAAATAAGAATCCATTTTGATAACAATGACCTGACTCTCCTATGCCTATTAGATTTTAAGGCATTTTATATGGTCAATCATGACGTCCTTTGCAAGAAACTTCGTAATTTTTTTGGCTTCTCAGATGAATCCATAAAACTTGTGACAAGCTACCTCGAAGGAAGGTTATGAAAAGTGGTGGTGAAGAATGCCTGCTCTTGCTTTAAAGCAGTCTCAGCGGGTGCCCACAGGGCTCTGTATTAGGACCTCTTTTGCTCAGTCTATGCATCAATGATGTGTTCTCTGA